CTCTAATGTGTGCCTTCCTCCTCTTTGTATATACTCCTCTTATATGTTATTTATTCTTACTGTCCTACTATTTATATTGTTTTCCATGCACAGTTGGTGTGGAGCACCCACAATTTAGTTGGATATGTACAAAGACAATAAAAGACTATTTTATTCTATATATCTTTGTTCCTCCATTTCAGTTTTGTTTGGAGCTTTAAAAAATCTGCAGTACTTTTAAATGTGATAAGAACACAGATCCCCTCTTAGGGTTCGAGGCTGTATTTGTTTCTAAAATGCATCTCTGGCCTATCATTATTATTTTGCTAACAGTTAATCGGACTCATTTACTAAATACTGATCAGAATATATCAAATTATCTTTGAAATGATTTTAATAACAGGCCTCTCAGAGTGAGGCCAGTTTTTACAATCAATAACACAACTGATAAAGGCAGCTGTGTTTTAGCCTGGAATACATTTATTTTTACCTTTCTCATAAATGGATTTCATTATAGCACTTTTAACGCAAACATGTTGGGTCTTTTGGAGCCGGAAGTGACCTCATATGGATGAAGGGTGGCGCTGGCTAGCTTGGTTAGCAGGCTGCATTCATAAACTGTGCAGGTGCCACAGAGATGCTAATTAGCGCTTAATAACAGACTAATAAAATAACAGAAACTCTGATTACAATGAGCTCATTTAAATGCTTTTGTCTAATAAAATTATTTTCTTCTCTGTGTTTCACAACCTTTTGCTGATATCTATCTGTGTATTAGTTTAGAGCAGCTTGAGTCAATTTAGTCAGATTTTTTTTCAACTGGTTCACAAAAACTTGAGAAGAGACACCGAGGAGAGCAACAGAAAGCCTCATTCAGGAGCTAAACTCAAGATTAACTAAACTCGGATTAATATTAGCTCGGGGCTTACCTTTAAATCAGTCGACAATAAACTCAGAGAAAAACGCCATAAAGCGGGAACTCGGCTTCTTCTTCTTCTTCTTTTGTATTTTTTGGCGGTTAAAGCGTTAAGGCGCATTACCGCCACCTGCTGGACTGGACTTTTCATATCCTAAACATCATCAATTGGCCACAAATTTGTTGGAGTTTCTGTTAATAGAAAAGATGGAATTCAAGGATCTTGTGATTTAGTTTCTTTGTTTTCACCATTTACTCTACAATTTTCTGCCAGTGTATAGCAAACCCCACAGCTTAAACCAATGAAGAATTTAGTATTTTTAAAATATTGCTTAAGCTGGAACCAGCAGCTTTAAAGGCCAAATTTTAATCCAAACATGTGATAGAGGTTTACCACCAGGAGAAGCAGACTGTAAATAAAAGACTGTGCTACTGAAAACTGTTACTCTGACTTTGGATTGTAAATATGTTTCCTTTTGTCACTTCTGTATTTGTATATGGCTCAAACTATTTGTTATGAAAGCAAAACAAACAAACTGATGGTGTATACATTGACTCAGGATTATTTACTTCGAGTCCAGAAATCATAGCTGTCTCATCAGATCCAGTTGTGACATTAGCTATAGTTTCCGCGGAGGGTACTTGGTTCTGTATGACAGCACAGCTTTTAGGTTGAATTCAAGCGCTTGAGTACAGCCTGATAATTAGAGGCCTGCAAACTGTTTGCTGATGAACTTTGGAGGTAAAAGTACAGACAGCTTTAGAAGACACAGGACATGAGATGGGTTCATTATTTCTTTTGAGTTCCATGTAACAACCCCTAACTCTGTAATTAAAGAATGTGCCATTTAATCTTGGATGGCTAAAATTGGGTGGCTGCCGTTCAGCATTTAGCACAAGTCAGCTTTTGATCAGAAAGTTTTCTGGTTTGATCCCTGGCTGCTCCAGTCTGCAGGCGAAATATCCTTGGACAAGATCGTAATCCCAAGTTGCTTTCTGATGCATCCATTGGAGTGTGAATGCTTTATAGAGTTTGTGAAACAGTTGTACGTCTGGTCAATTGTTTTGTATTTGTGTGTGGATTGAAGCACATGCCTGAGAGCGCATCAATCACTGCACATATTTGTTAAATCTTAGTTTATATTTGTGGATCATACTGTATTCATTTGTAACACTTTTGAGACATATTTCTCTCCACATAAATGACCGATGTTCCCTGAATGCCTCACATACAGCTCCAGGACATTTCAATACAATCTTTCATACATTCTTCTCTCGTACTTCATCTATTTGCTCTGACATTCAACATTGTTACATCTGGTTCTCACCTGTGTTACGTTGGTCTAGGGCAGGGGTCTCAAACTTCAATGAGCTGTGGGCCACTGCTGGCACTGTCATCTCATGTGAGGACTACTTTACTGTTCAAGTAGTACAAAAAACAAACAAACAAACAA